AGGTGTGGCCCCTCTCTCGCTGCTGTCATATGGGGATATAACTGTCCTGTGGATAGAGTACCAAGCCTAAGCTTGTGTTTTCTTGGGTCATCTACAGCTCGCCATTTGTTTGCTTTGAGTATCGGAGACTTTTTGTGCTTGAGGATGAAATAACAGTTCTGACCCACTAACCTATTCCTCCCTATAACAAGGTCAACACTACAGTCTACCTGGAACTTATGGCGCTTTTCCACTGCATGGTACGTCACGGTACGGTTCACTTTTGGGGGGTTTTCCACTGGGTACAGTACCTGGTACCTGGTACTTTTTTTAGTACCACCTCGGTTGGGGTTCCAAGCGAACTGTGATGTTACCAAAACGTGACGTGTAAACTCTGCTGATCACGGATTGGCTAGAGAGAATCATCACTACCTGCGTCACTGAACTTGCGACACAAACACAAAAGAACCGCTAAAAAAAACTTTTTCATTTCGCGTCGCCCCATCAAGCTCTAGCTGGATCCGCTCCTCTGCCATCAACGAGAGGAACGTCTGTACTTCCGCAACAGACAACGAAACGTTTTGGTTATTAAAAAAAAAGGTGCGCTCGTTCAAAACAGTTGCATTCGATCCTTCGCTGGCTGTGCTGATTTAAATCTAGTGGTTCTTTTGTGTTTGTGTCGCAAGTTCAGTGCGAGACGAAGGTAGAGACGATTCTCTCCAGCCAATCAGTGATCAGCAGAGTTTACACGTCACGTTTTGGTAACGGTACGGTTCACTTGGAACCCCAACCCCAAAAGTGAACTGTACTGAGCCGTACCGTGCCGTACCATGCAGTGGAAAAGCGCCATTAGAGTAACATTAGATGTTTAATTTTCACTTCAAATATGAATTCATTCAAGTTATTTGAAAAAGAATTGTTGAGCATACAGTAAATTTCTTTTAAGAAACTGTAACTATTTCTGTTTCAAATAAATTGTGTTCATTTAAAAATTTACCACAGTTTCCACAAGATATTAGGCAGCACAACTGTTGTCAACATTGATAACAATAAATAACACATTAAAATGATTTCTGAAAGATCATGAGTATGACACTAAAGACTGGAATAATGATTGCAAAAAATTCAGCTCTGCATCACAGGTATAAATTACATTTTAAAGGGATAGTTCACCCAAAAATGAAAATTCTGTCATTAATTACTCACCCTCATGTCGTTCCAAACCAGTAAGACTTTGGAACTTTGTTCCAAATTTTTGACTTTTTATCTTCGGAACACGAATTAAAATATTTTTGATGCATACCGAGAGCTCTCTAAGACATCCCATAGACAGCAAGGATCCTTAAACGATCAAGGCTCAGAAACATAGCAAGGACATTGTTAAAATAATCCATTTGACATCAGTGGTTCAACCGTAATTTTATGAAGCTACAAGAATACTTTTTGTGCGCAAAGAAAACAAAAATAATGACTTTATTCAACTATTCATCCCCTCCGCGTCACCCTGGTGCCATTTTGGAGAAAAGTATTCTTGTAGCTTCATAAAATTATGGTTGAATTATTTTAACAATCTCCTTGCTATGTTTCTGAGTCTTGATCGTTTAAGGATCCTTGCTGTATATGGAGGGTCAGAGAGCTCTCGGAATGCATCAAAAATATCTTAATTTGTGTTCCGAAGATAAACGAAGGCCTTACAGGTTTGGAACGACACGAGGGTGAGTAATTAATGACAGAATTTTCATTTTTGGGTGAACTATCCCTTAAACATTCATTCAAATAGAAAACAGTTATTTTAAATTGTAATAATATTTCACAATATTACAAATGTTACTTTTTGATAAAAAAAACAGCCTTGGTGAGCATAAGTTTGAATAATTATTCTAATTATATGAGAATAGCCATACCACATCAATTTCAGCATGATTTTTTTATAGTGGATTAATGATAAAAACATTGACAACCAATCAAAGTTTTAAGAAACTTGTAAGTGGCAGATGACAAAACTGCAGCACACGCTTATAATAAAGAGAACGGTATCGCCTAATGGTGTGGACGCTAATATATATTGTTAATATATACTTCTCAAGTTTTTCTTTGAGTTTTCAGGTTTATGAGATCCATGCCTGGCAGACTAAAAAGGGATTACAGAGATAACCGAATAAGCCCAATGCCTTCAATGGAAGGTGAGCTTTCACACCTGAGCATTACACAAACCCTCCCCTTTTTATTTCCTGATTATTGTTGTTGCTATCGGTTGGTGATGAAATCTTTGTGTGTTTAAGCTCAAGCAAATCAACCCCTCCTCCTGACACATTTGAATCCACGCAGCACCACTGCAAACAAGACTACACTTGTTCTTCAAAGATCAGACCCAGGTGATGAGTGAACCTGTCGTTATATTTCACTCCACACATTACACCAGTAACACAAGTACGAAACCATGCAGTTTCCAAAGTTTTAAACAAACAGACACAAAGAATTAGTCTCGGTGATGTGATCTAATAAAAACAACAGTTTGTGACTCCATAAATTATATCACTGGCCAGTTGCCATCTCGTACAAATTGAGTGATGCAGGTTTTGATAGGGGGCGGGTTGGCGCAGGATGTGCATATAAGCGTCTTCTATTGAATGCCGTCACTTGGCAAGGCAGAAAAGGTTTTTGGGAGGCACGCCTGTTTGCCTTGTCCCCTCTCCCTGAGGACGGCGCCTATCAAGGGTCCACTCTTCATCCCCACGCTGGCCTTCTGCTGTGTTAGGGAGGGTGAGCATGGGCCCAGGAGGCAGAAAACCTGCTTCTCCACTCCCTTGAGGGAGTAGGCGTTTCACCTCGGTCCCGAAAGTAATCATGGGCCTTCGTTATGGCATTAAAAGCTATAAGAGCTTTAGTGTTGGCTTTGGGCTCGGAGGTAATAAATCGGTGTTGGGGGGGGAGGACACTTCAGGGAATGCGTGGAATTAATTACGTAATTATGATAAGAGTGTGCGATCACGTAGAGGAAGCGAAAGCAGCCTGCTATCTCAATTGACATCAGCAGTGAATGAAAAGCGCAGGTGGTCTGCATTTACCGCTGTTAAGTGGCGTCTCTACCTTTACTCTATTAATGGTAATGCTCTGAAGATGGCATATCTGTACTCGATGGTGCTATAAATACATCAAAGTCAAATAACCACACAAAAATCACCATAAAACCCAAGCCATTTCACAAACAGGAAGCCAAACTTAAAAGAACAGTACACCTTAAAAAAAACAAAAAAAAAAAACACTATGCAATTATTTTTAACTCACACTTATGTAGTTTCAAACCTGTATGACTTTCTTCTGTGAAATTCCGAAGAATAAACCCTACTGTTCAAACATTTGCGCTAAGTTAGATTTAAAAAAAAGAAATTAATACTTTTATTTAGCAAAGATGCACTTAATTGATCAAAAGTGACAAAAACATTTATAATGCTGCAAATGATATCAATTTAAAATAAACGTGGTTCTTCTGAACTTTTGAATTATCAAAGAATCATGAAAAAGATGCGTCTCAGTTTCCACAAAAACATTAAGCAGCACAACTGTTTTTTTAACATTGAAAATAAATGTTTCTTGAGCAGCAAATCAGAATATTAGAATGATTTCTGAAGGATCATGTGACACTAAAGACTGGAGTAATGATGGTGAAAATTCAGCTTTGCATCACATGAATACATCACATTCTAAAGTATATCAAAATCAAAAATCAGTTGTTTTAATCTGTAATAATATTTCACAATATTACTGTGTTTACTGTAGAGACTTCTATAAGATACTTCTTTCAAAAACCTTTAAAAAAATCGTACTGACCACAAACTTAAAGGGATAGTTCACACAAAAATGAAAATTAGCCCCTTTGATCTTCCAAGTTGTTTAATGGCAGTCAGCGGGTGTTGCAGTTCATCAGTCCAAAAGAAGTGAAATAAAGCGCATCCATCCATAATAAAAAGTGCCTCACACGGCTCCGGGGGGTGAACAAAGGCCTACTGTAGCGAACTGATGCGTTTTTGTACGAAAAATATCCATATTTAAAACGTAATTTTCTTTTTTGGGTGAACTATCCCTTTAAAAGTATTGAATTTCCCATGTAAAATTAAGTGAAAGAGAACAGAGTTTCTAGCTCCAAAATGAACAAAAAAACAACTGATGTCAAACATAAAATGTATGTGTTAAAAAAATTGACATTCTTTAAAAATTCACAATGTGTTTTTTACAGGTCACAGAAAGTCATACAGGTCTAGAACAACATAGCGGTCAATAAATGGTGACTGAATTTCTATTTTTGTGTGAACTATTAAAAGAGTCACAAGCCTCATAATTCAACAACCCACAATTAAGCGTCAATTCAGCGTGAATGAATGCAGTGAAATAACTGCCAATGTGAACTGGCACATGCACCGCATGCCACTGGTTAAGGGCCAATCTGGGAGTGTGAGAGATTGATGCTTGCAGGGGTCATGTGCAGGGGCTTGGCCCCATGAAACATTTGGTTGTGAAGTGGGCTGACACCCGCTGGCACTGGGTAAAAGGTGCTGCATGGCACCAGAAATCCATCATGTGCCATGCTAACTGACAAGTGAACAAACACATAACAAGCAGGCCAGAAGGGTCCTCGTCTGCTAAAAAGGGCTGTGTAACGGGGCAAACAATACTCTGCTTTCAAAAGGAGGGGGAATGACAGCATTTTGCGCTTGTAGACTGAAGGTCTACAAATAATGGAGTTCTCTACTTTATTTTTGTCATGCCAACTTCCTCCTGAGCTTTGAGCTATGCATTCAGTGCCTTTAAACCCACTAAAAGTGAAACTAAACTCTCTTATCAATTAGATGAAAATCTGTATGTAGGAATAAAATGCCCACCACAATAGGCCCTCAGCTTGGGTTATTACGTTAAGGTTACTTTTCAATACAGTGTGAAAAGCCTCTGTAAGCACATGAAATGTCCAAACCATTTCAGAACTGCCTCAGGGCCTGACGTGTTCAGATAAGAGGAGGACTTACCATTATCAAACTCATCTGGAATCTGGAAAAAAAGAAAGAAAGAAAACAGAGAGGTGAGATACAAGTAGACATGTTTTCAATGCACACTGTTACATCAAGTCACCACATGTGCATACAAACTAGAAATACAACAACAAATTAACAGTAAAATGTTTGATAAAACTCCTTTGATTCTTCCAGACTGACAGGCAATTATTTCATTTTCCATTTTCTTTTTAGTTAACGTTTTAGTAATTTTGTTTGGCATTTTTGCCATTTTACTAGTTTTTTATGCTTACATATTTATTTATATTATATATTCATTTTTATTTAATTTTTAATTATTTTAGTACATCATGTTAAACTAAATGAAAATGAGAAATGTTGCTTTGGCAGCTAGCTAAAAACTTAAAATAAGTTTATTAAGTTAACGTTTAGTTCAAGTTTTGGTTTACTTACAATATTATATACAATACATTTATTCTATAATACTACTGAACATGGCACATCAGACACAGCTAAAATACCTTTTGGCATATTACTGTCAGAGATTAAATGTACAAATATATAGTTCTTTAGTCTTTTAATAACAATACACATTGGTCCATCAATAAGTGCCAAACCAATTAATATTCAGCTGCATCTGTCAGCAGGTTCTGCCCCTCTTGGGGTCCAGGACCACCATATGCTGCCTGGTGGTATGGCTCACAGTACAACATGGGCAAAGGGCCTGTTTCTAACCCCTGTCATTCTCCTACTGCATTCATTCATTGTACAGAAACCACTCTAGCGCCCTCCACTGGACAAAAACTGCACACAGCCAGTATACAGAAACAAAGGGCCAAGTGCGCTTTTAGCAAGCCTCAATTTTCTGGTTCATCACATGAACACATCACTCAATTATAAATGTTAAGTGAAAACAGAAAATATAAATAAGTGGAGTTAAGAAAAGCAACACCTTGTTAAACATGATGAACTACAACTGGTGAACTACATTTCTGCACCTTATCAGACTTCAGTCAATCATGTTGTTCCAAATTTCTTTGTCTGATTTTCTTCTGTGAAACTAAGATAATTTGAGAAACGTCTCTCTCTCTCTCTCTCTCTCTCTCTCTCTCTCTGTGTGTTTCCGACGTGCTGCAAAGTGTTCCACAGAAGAAAGAAGTTTATACAGGTTTAGAATGACATGAGGATGAGTAAATGATGACAGAATTCACATTTTTGGCTGAACTATCAGTTTAGGTTTCAGTCATTGCTTGCAAAGAGATAAAGAAGACAGATAATACAGAGAGAGAGAGAGAGATTGTTGTTTATATTAATAAAGCCAAAAAAGCAATGGATAAATTTCATGGTTATGGAACTAACACAGTATATGCAAGGGTTGCCTATGGCAAACGAGCATGCAAGCAAAAATATTTTATCTATTCATTTGATCTATTTTAGCTATGAATTTGTATTTATATTTGTATTCTAAGAGAAACCCACAACCACTGAAGATGAAAGCTCTGGAACCATACAGAGTGCACTATACTCATATCTACCCACAAACACACTGCTATTCATACATTAGTATTCCAGATGGATATACACTACCGTTCAAAATTTTTGGGTCAGTAAGATTATTAAAAAAAGAAAAAAGTATTCAGGAAGGACACACGAATGTTACAAAAAACTGTTACTTCAATTATGTTCTTCTGTATTAAGGTTTCTACAAAAATATTAAGCAGCACGACTGTTTTCAATATTGATAATAAAATAAGAAATGTTTCTCGACCACAAAATCAGCATATTAGAATGATTTCTAAAGGATCATGTGACACTGCAGACTGGAGTAATGATGCTGAAAATTCAGCTTTGCATTTTAGGAATGAATTATACATTGTTAAAATTTAAAATATAGTACAATAGAAAAGACTGATTTAAAGTATAATGATATTTCACATTATTACTGTTTTTACTAGTTTTGATCAAATAAATGCAGCCTTGGTGAACATAAAAAAATTATTTAAAAATCCTTTTAATAATCCTACTGACCCCAAACATTTGAACAGTTATCTAAATGAATCTGTTAATATTTCTTATCAGCACTGAAGAATATTTGAATTGAAAGCCTTGCAGGAAATGTTGCACATGCTGAAGCACCGAAACAAACCCCAACAGCCATAGTGGCTCTTACATCCAATTCTGTTCTATGAGAAGAGGATTCAGTCTTTGCTCTCACGCTGTCACCTTCCTTAAGTGCCCTTCAATTAAGAACTTTGGCTGTAAAAAATGGCACCCTAAAGCCTGGCACACTCCACATATATCTCCAACAAGGTCTTAACTACATGTGAAGTGTGCCCAGTTCCATCACTTGTCCAAAAGGCAAGCAAGCCAAAAGGGTCATTAAACCAAAGAAGTGTAGACAACAAACATCACCACACTGTGCTTAGTGTGTCCTACAAGTCACTTGTTTCTGTAGGACATTATTAAGAGGGTTTAATTCACATGACAAATGCTGGATAAACAGTCCGTTTGAAGGTTATGGCTTTGGTGAAGGTTCCTGTTTTCAAAACAGTCCTTGAGCTAAAGTCTAGCATAAAATCGGCTACTGCCGCTGGAAATTACAACAGCCAACCACTTGTTTTGTAAATACATAAATCAAGTAAAATGTGTGCTAATGTCAAATGTGTAACAGTGGGAGATGACAAACAATCCATTTCCCCAAACACTTTACCGTTACAGGTTGAACTGGTTGAATGATCTTTCGAGAACATCTAATAACTAAAAGACTGAGGTGCGAACCATATTCAAAATATTGTGGCAGGGTGACAAGACCTTCTGGCAAGAAGTCTAATAAGTCAAGTCTCGCAGATGTCTTCAGCATGAGATGCGTGACTCAGCTTTGAAAGGTCTGGCACACTCCATTCACAACTCTTACGACATCTCAACTGCCTGAGAAGTGTGCCTGTTCAAAGTGATCCACAGCCTACAGGATCTCCAGTGACAGACATGTGAAGAACTAAAGCTTTGAGGCAGCAATCTTCCCGAGGAAACACCTCAAGCCTTTACACATAGCACACTGATGTGAAAGGTAAGCCTTTAAAGGGATCGTTCATACAAAATGTCTAAGAGCCTGGAAAATACTGCAATGTTTTAAAATGATTGCTGATGTCAATCATATTGGCATATGGCATATATATATATAAAATGCTTAAACAAAAGGTATTTAAAAATAACTTCAAAATAAATAAACAAACAAACAAACAATAAGGTAAAACGTACTTTAATTTACACAACCCCTCAAATAATAAATAAACAAAATGGTAAAAAAGTATAAACAAGCTACAAAGAAATGTACACAACCACTCTGAAAAAAATAGCAAAAAGGTACTGCATTTAAAAATAAGCTCAACAAAATTTACACAACTCCTCAAAAATGAAATAAAATGGTTAAAAAAGGTATTTAAAAAGAACTTCAAAACATTATTAAAAATAAACGAACAAGGTAAAAAGGTAGCTTTTAATTCACACAACCCCTCAAAGAATAATAATAAAAAAAAATATATATATATGTATATATTAGGGATATGCCGGTATCAAATTGTCATGTTGCGATTACTTGCTAATGCTTTTATCACGGTATACGGTGTTATCACGGTATTGAAATTGAGTTTAAAATAAGTGCTGACATAATACAGTATAACAGGTTTAATAACTTTTTTCTTATAACAAAAATAACTGAACATTTAAATGCAATAAAGCAATACAGAAAAATGTATAAAGCTAAAAGTTTTACACAGATTAAAGTGCAAAAGAACTATAAAGACCTATAGGTATCACTTTACAGTAAGACCTCATTAGTTAACCTTAGTTAATGCATTAACATTCACAATGAGCAATAGCTACATTTGCTACAGAAACGGGGCCATTTTTACTAAAAAGGCTATAACTTGTGAACAAAATGACGTATCCTAACCAAACTCGGTACACATGTGTATGAGCTCGATTTTTGGTCAAATAAAAAAAATGTGCAGCTCTGCCACTTGGTGGCGCTATAAGATGGAAAAAGCATAAAAATGACTATAACCTCGCAACCGTTGGTCCGATCGGCTTGAAAATTGGTATGCAGTGTCTTTGTCCAATGTGCCATAAGGGTCTATGAGGACATCGGCGTATCTCAAAAAACATGGCCGCCATCGGCCAATGAAGATTGAGCACCTATTAGACAAGGTTAACGGAGGTCGATCGGAACGAAACTCGGTGGGCATGTTCGACTCATGGCTCTAAAGGTCTGTACGAATTTTGAAAGAAATCCGCCACTAGTTGGCGCTAACGAGGTTTATGGCTCAGTAATCACGTGGTGTTTCACTCATTCACAGAAATATGCATATCACTTGATAGAACTCCTCATAATGAGAAACTTTGCCTCAAGAACCATTGCTGTCAATCAAATCGTTCATTAATTATTCACAAATATGTTAAAAACCTACTTTTGCGAACTAGTCCTAGGTTTTTTGCCCAATCATAACCAAACCAGTGCAGAAAGATTCTCTGAAGAGTGAATATCAATAATTGTCAAAAAAAAGTTTAACTTTTGACTCACCGTCGCAAAGGGATGCCAAAACGTTCGGAGGGGGCAGGGCCACTTTTAGTAAAATGCCTATAACTCCTGAACGGAATGAGATATCTTCGCTAAACTTGGAACAGTTATGTAAGAGCTCAAGCTATAATTATCAAAAAAAAATAATAATTTTGTCCTTTGGTTAGCCATAATGGGGTCATTTTAAAAGGGGCATGGCCAAATATACCCAAAAGCCTATAAAACCTAAACAAAAACTCAAAACTTTACGAAACTTGGTGA